GGGGGGGGGTAAAATAGGGTAAACTGTATTCATTTAGAGAATTTTGCTCATGTAACAAAATTAAAATTTTAGATTTTTGCTTCCCTTCATACAAATTTTCTTTGTTATTAAGTGTTATTCCTTTGCCATGTGTAAGAGGAGGGTCTAAGAAGTGACCAAATTGCAGGCATACCCACACAAGATTCTGACAGGAAGAAGGTCAAGGATGCACACCATCAGAAAGACTTCAGGGTTAGCAGGATTTCCTAAAAGGGATGAGAGTGTTCATGATGCTTTTGGGGCAGGGCACAGTTCAACAAGCATATCTGCTGGTCTTGGTGAGTTTCTTAATTATATTTCAAGACCAATACATGTTTCATCAAATATATAAGAACAGGGACAAATCTACAGCTCTGTTCGCTTGTCAACGTGTCAAACATTTTACATCCGCATCTGACACGATAGTTTTCATGTTTTGGTTACGCGGTTAACAATTATCTATTGCGTCAATGTTAAAAATTATATTTTTTTTCAGACACTTTTACAACAAAATTTGTGCATCACTTTCACACAACTTGATTTTTTTTATTTATGCAAGTTAAACATTGAGATTTGTTCTTAACTAAATATTTATATGTTGCTTTTATTATAAATAAATTTAAAATATTAATTTATTTATAAATATTACAAGACTTATGACATATTTTTAATTTTTGTTGAGAATTATTTTATAAAAAATTATTAGTTGTTTTAATTTTTTTAAAAAATAATTCATCGTTAAAAAATTATTATCATATTAAAATTGTAAAACTTAAGGTCATCAAAATTATTCAAATAAAAAAATAAGTGCAATTTAGTTTAATCTGATTTAAATAAATTATAAAATTTGAATCAAATTAAATTAATTTTTTGTGGATTGATTTGGTTTAATTTAATTTTTACGATTTTAAAATTTGTTATTTAAAAATTAATTAAAAATATATGATATTATGGTATTTGTTAAAAATGGTACCTAAAATATAAAATTAAAAATATGTAAATAATATAATATTTTGACCACTTAATATATTTAACAACAATTCTTATTTTATTATTTTAGTAAAAATATTTCTTTAATATAATTTTAGTTATCATACTAATTTTTTTTCATATATATAGTTTTTCATTTTGAAAAAAATATTTTTTCAAATATGATACATAATTTTTAATTTTTCATTCTAAATTCAGTTTAATAGCTTAAAAAAATTTAAATTCCTTTTAAATATTATAACGTATATTTTGAGAGAAAATACTTTTTAGCAATATACAATTTTATAAAACACATTTTATGTTATCTGTTAATTTTGCATATATTCACTGTGTATTTGAAAAAAATATATATATTTACTAATAAGTGGAGTTTAATTTGGTTTGGAATAGTTTCACATTCCAATTTGAATACTTAGTCAAATCATACGATTTTAAAAATTTAAGAACCAAATCAAATTGCTAATTTACGATTTTGCATTGATTTTGACTTTCTGGATGGATTTGCGATTTGTTCTTTAAATTAATTTCGATTTAAACACCCTTTTATATAAATAGATAGATCGATAAATAAGGGGATCACTTTACTTTAAGAGTAACTTTTGATAAAATTACTCCATTCAATAACTCATATTATATGTTAAATTTCAACGATAAAATAGTTAAATTAAAAGTTTTTAATAGATAGATTAAGTTTACAAATTTTTAATAATTTGAGAATTACTTGATAATTTGTTGCAGTAATTCAAATTTACGGATAATTATAAAAATATTTTATACTTTGAGTTGAATTTATATAACAAAGTATGTATGATTTTTAAATTTAAAAAAAAAAAATTGACTTGTACATAAAAACCTTTTTATTTAACTATTGAATTCTTAAGATTTAACATATACCATAAATTATTGAGTGAAGTAACTTTTACCAATAATTAATTTTGAAATAATTTGATTTTTTCTCTTTTCCTCTCTCTCTCTCACACAAATATATATATATATATATATATATATATATATATATATATATATATATATATAATTAAATTATTAGCATTTAATAAATTCAATGACATTGATCTATATTTGATATCAATAGCTCATCTTATTTAGCAAAAAAATATTAATATCTTATTATAACATATAAACATCTAACATAGTCTTCATATTTTTTCCCGTTCTTATATAGGATAATCCTATCATTATACAATTTGTCTTAGCAATTTGAATATCCTTTAATTCTACATTATTAAGCAACCAAAAATATTATTTATTCACATTAGTTATGTTAATTAGCCTTAGACATTAGACATGCTCCAATATCAGGTGTTCTTGTCTTTGTCGAAGTGGATCGATTGAACTTTACACGCATGTATGATATATTTCACTGATTGAACAACAATTGTGAATATTGTTAGGCATGGCTGTTGCACGTGATCTGTTGGGAAAGAACAACAACATAATTTCAGTGATTGGAGATGGAGCTTTGACAGCAGGACAAGCTTACGAGGCAATGAACAACGCAGGGTTCCTTGATACTAACATGATAGTTATACTTAATGACAACAAGCAAGTCTCTTTACCAACTGCCACACTTGATGGCCCTGCAACTCCCGTTGGAGCTCTCAGTAGTGCTTTGAGCAAAATTCAAGCAAGTACCCAATTCCGCAAACTTAGAGAAGCTGCAAAGGTAAGCCTCTCAAACTTATTGTATTATTATTAGTAGTTAACATCATGGTTTCTGGCATAAGCTTGTATTTGACTATAATCTTATCTGCTAAATGAAGAGCATCACAAAACAATTAGGAGAACAAACACACCAGGTTGCTGCAAAAGTAGATGAGTATGCAAGAGGCATGATCAGTGCTTCAGGTTCTACTTTTTTTGAGGAGCTTGGCTTATACTACATAGGTCCTGTCGATGGTCATAGCATCGAAGATCTGGTCACCATCTTTGAGAAAGTCAAAGCAATGCCTGCCCCGGGTCCAGTTTTGATTCATGTTGTCACAGAAAAAGGGAAGGGATACCCTCCTGCAGAAATAGCAGCGGATAAAATGCATGGTGAGAAAGGAACATTTCTTTCATATCTCAACAAAATCATGATCAGCAATTCAAAATTTAATTTTAATGAAATTAGTTTTACAAAATTGACTGATTAAAATTGATTTGAATTAAAGTTTTTATCTTCTCAAGTTGTTTCAACTCAAAATTAATTGTGTACCCAAATTTAATGTCTCAACGTGAGACCAAACATGTGAATGATTACCTGAAATACCAATGTTATTTAGGATGATCTAACCTGAATCTAAACACGCTAGTACTTTCTCACATTTTCAGGGGTTGTCAAGTTTGATCCAAAATCAGGGCACCAGTTTAAGGCAAAATCCCCTACGCTTTCATACACACAGTACTTTGCTGAGTCTTTGATAAAGGAAGCTGAATTAGACAAGAAGATAGTGGGCATTCACGCAGCAATGGGTGGTGGTACTGGCCTCAATTATTTCCAGAAAAAGTTTCCCGAACGATGTTTCGATGTGGGGATAGCTGAACAACATGCTGTCACATTTGCTGCTGGTTTAGCTGCTGAAGGTCTCAAGCCATTTTGTGCCATTTATTCATCATTCTTGCAACGTGGATATGATCAGGTTGGCCAATATCTTCAAATGAAAATAGTTCAAACTAACTAATCAGTGATTTGTTATTTATGTAATTAATTACCTGTGATAAAGTAAAACATTCTCATCACTATGATCTATTTTGGGTATGAAGGTGGTCCATGATGTTGATCTTCAAAAACTACCTGTCCGATTTGCTATGGATAGAGCTGGTTTGGTTGGAGCTGATGGACCAACACATTGTGGAGCATTTGACATCACTTACATGGCTTGCCTCCCCAACATGGTGGTCATGGCTCCCTCTGATGAAGCTGAACTCATGCACATGGTTGCAACCGCAGCAGCTATAGATGATAGACCAAGTTGCTTTAGATTTCCAAGGGGAAATGGAATTGGAGCTACTCTTCCACTCAATAATAAAGGAACCCCGCTTGAGGTCAGAATTAGTAACTAACAAATATTTCATGAACTCAATGCTCAATAGTTAAGCCACTAAATATAAATTGTTTTGGTTATGCAGATAGGGAAAGGAAGAATTCTGACAGAAGGCAGCAGAGTTGCTATTTTGGGATATGGTTCTGTAGTTCAACAATGCCTCCAAGCCTCAGAAATTCTTAAAGAACTAGACATTTATGTGACAGTTGCTGATGCCAGGTTTTGCAAACCTTTGGATACTGATCTCATTAGGCTACTAGCCAAAGAGCATGAAATGCTCATCACAGTGGAAGAGGGTTCCATTGGAGGTTTTGGATCACATGTTTCACAATTCTTGAGCTTATCTGGTATCCTAGATGGACCTCTAAAGGTAAACCTTTCCCTTTGGAGATAGGAGAAGTCACTCTCTCCATGATTTCATTTTCAGATGCGTCCCTTTTTTTGTGCACTTCTAAGTAACACCCCTTTGAACTTTTCTTGCAGTGGAGAGCCATGACGCTTCCTGATAGGTATATCGAGCATGGATCACCCCAAACTCAGATAGAAGAAGCAGGGCTTTCATCAAATAACATTGTCGCCACTATACTGTCTCTTCTTGAAAAGCCAAAAGAAGCTCTTCGGTTCAAATAAAAACACAATTAGAATAATGATCCTAATTTGGGACCTAAATGATACATCTAATACTTAGAGGACTCCTTCAGCCATTGTGCTTCAAAGGAATCTGTAAATAACAACACAACAAATTGTTGGAGTTCACATATTTTGGATCGTTAGGCGCAAGAATCATAAGTGAATAAAGAGATGAATTTATTCTAAGAACTCAAGGAATCTATCAAGGCATTATATTGTATCTATGTTAATTATTTTATTGTAATTATTTCACTACATAATGCATCGGAAATCACGATTGCCCAATGATATAAGCAAAAATAATGTACACCACTCTCTGTAATGAGGATTTGTGACGATTACTATAAGCAAAATCACGATTGCCCAATAAGCGATATTTCCTTCACATTTGTCATAAGGATCTAAATTTGATGATAAATTAATTACAGGTTTGATTTTAAGTGTGTGGATATGAAAGAATACTTGTTAGGAGATGTCATCTCTACAATACATCTTCCTATGCTGAGAGATTAATCTCTAGCTCTAGACTAGGAATATCTTGAGTACAAATAATAAATTAAATAACGAGTCAATTTTTTAGCAAATGAAAAGTTAGATCCTACTTATGTTTTGTTTGAATCAACCATTTCATAAGTATTTATAAGAGAAGAAAATAAAGAGGCAACATAAATTAAAGTTTTGACATTAGATAAATCAATATATACACTTAATTTTTATTGTGTTTTTTTTTTCATTTAACTTCTCCAAAAGTTAAGGTACAACAGTTCATTTTAGCTTATGGAGAATGACAATGTATTATACTTTCTTATTTTTTTCACTTAATTAGAAACACATGACGACTTATAACATGTTAGAATATATTGTCCTTTGAAAATAAGATTCTTTTTTAATGGAAACAAATATTTTCTCATTATAGAAATTTAATGTATTTATCCTACATAAATAAACCTCTTGTATGTGTTTTAAAACACATGGGTTTAGTCACATGTCTTTATTTTTCTTTCCTCATTATGGTATCAAAGCCAGTACAGATACCTTAAGATTTTTATTACTAGGTGGACCCACTATTCATGGAGATTGCCTTTTGTCCTCTAGTTTGCCCTCGTTTTTTGTTTTCTTCTTTTTCTGACACTGTTTTTAGTACTCGTCATTGTTGTCGTGGTTGTCTTCGCCTCCATCGCTGCCATTGCTTTTGATTAGACATCCCTTTATTCAAAATTCCCATGCCATATCCTTATATTTTTTCAAAGTTCCTTTGTCCATGAAAAAATTGTTTTTCTGATGTATTAGTACAATCTCTAATAGAAAAAATAGCAATTTTATGGAGGTATAGTACAGAGAAAGAATAATAAAGAGGAATGTTAAAAAAAAAAAGTTATTTAACAGGGTAGAATAATAATAACCTTATTTAGTTAAGGGTTTGACAATGAGGCTTTTCTCTCATCATGATCAAAAATGTTAATGAAGACATACCGTTTATTTTACCTAAAGATTTTTATAGTGCATTTAATGAAGTATGAATGGGAAGTAGAACAAGATCTCTACTATCAAAGGAAATCTCAAGTGATCCTATAAACACTAGTCAATGTGAATTGAAGAATAGAAGAACTATCGTATGTTTTATGTCACATATATATTACCTAAAGATTAGTTGTAGGGACATATCTTGTTCTTACTAATTGTTCTCTTGTAAATTCTACAAAGCTTAAAAAATATCCTTTTATTAAATCTTATTTGTTCAATGCAATCCTTATCTATCTCTTAAATATATGATTGAGGAAACTACGTCTTTCTAATTCACAATTTTAGGTTGGTTCCTAAACAAAGAACATGTCATGATACCAAGCCATTACACTCAAAAGCATAGTAACAACACTAACAACAATGCATATTGCTTGCTCAAGTTCTTCTTCTTCCTTTTCTTTATCTCTTTTATGTTTTCTTGAAATAATTGAAGTATCAATTACACAAGTGTTTATTTCCTAACAATCCACAACATTTAGTGCAACATTAATAACCATTAACAGTTCATAATAATAGAAAATAAAATAAGAACAAAACAATCCAAAATATAATAATGAAAGTAGACCATGATTTACTCTAACAAGTCATCTATATGCAATGAAGTTGTACAAAGTATCAATAAGCCATGGTCTCATGGAACACCAATACCAACATATATATTCACTAAATTATTGCAGAGAGAATAAACAAATAAGTTAATAACCAACCTTGTAAAGCTTCTACATGAAAACAAAAATGATTTGACAAACCATAAAGCAGCCAAGTGTTTCATCCATGCTTCATAAACACAAGATTAAGATGGATATAAAATGAAAGAGAAAAACATCTTACCTTCTTTTTGAAATCCTAGTAAATTTTGTTTTATTTATTTGGAAGGCATTATACTAGCATTTTTATATTAGTATGTAAGATTCTCCAACATCTAGAAGGCTTCGCCTGGTCTAAGTATAATAACTCTGGACCTTAGATCTCAACATCATTCGGTATTGCATAAACATTGAATTATTTTTAATTGACATAAATATAAATACTTGTTTTTTTAAATTTTGAAATTTGACTTGATGGAATAAGTATTCATGTTACATTAAAAAAATCTACTCAGATCAAAATTTGTCAATTATAAAACTCTGATCCAATAAGCCTTGTAGCTTTTCAATTAAAATTCTTCTCAGTAAATAAATAAATAAATATCTCCACATATATTTAATATGTTTATAATAAGTCTTATAGTTTTTAATTGACCTTCCTATCATCTTTCTCTTCTCTCTACCTCCACCCAAAACCAAATAATTAGTTATCACACTTTCCTATATTCCTTGTATATGCATTGAAAAAACTAGTACTTACTTTTTCTTCTCTATTTTCTCGTGTTCTTTATCTCTCTCACTCACACAAGAGTAATTAAAAGTCCTTATAAATAAAAGCAAATGAGAGAACAAATAATAAGAAACAAAGCATGAACAGTATTGCATGTGCTAAAGCAGAGTGTTATGAGTTTGTGGAAGTTGATACCACGGGAAGAAATGGAAGAGTATATACCTTATCTTTTGCTCATCAACTTTTCTTACTATTTTTTCATATTCCAAGTTCTTTGTTCTTAACAGCTGTACACACGTCACGTTTTTCGTTCACGCCACTTTCTCATTTGTTATTTCATTATGTTATTTTCAGATTCTCTTTGTACCTTTTCTCTTTCTTCCTTTTTGCTGCACCCAATTGTACAAATACCATCATTTTCTTAGCATTACGAAAATGAGTTGTTGATCAATTTTTACACATCACCTTTTATTCTCCTTTACTCCCTCATGTGGAATTTTGTTATGGTATCAAAGCTCTTCCATTGAAGAGCTTTGCTACACATTCATCTCATTTCTTTCCTTCTTATTGCTATGGAGGACGAAACTCATTTAACACCCCCTTTTCACAGTTTCCTCTATCTTCATCCTGGCGAGGATCCTGCCACTATGCTTGTATCACTTGTTCTTGATTCAAGCAATTATCATTCATGGAGTAGATCCATGCTTACTACTCTTAGTGCCAAAAACAAGATGGAATTTATGGACGGGAATGCTCCACAACCGCCTAAATCTAATGTTACTTATTCCGCATGACGTCGATGTAATAATATGGTTGTCTCTTGGCTTTTACATTCAGGGTATACTTTGGATGGACAAAGCTGATGAGATTTGGAATGATCTTAAATCAAGGTACTCTCAAGGTGACCTCCTTCATATTTCAGATTTGCAGTATGAAACTTCTTCCCTTCAGCAAGGAGACCTTTTGTCACTGAGTTCTTCACAAAACTTAGGATTATTTGGGACGAATTGGAAAATTTCAGGCCAGATCCTACATGTTCATGTACCCACAAATGTTCTTGCAATGTTTTACCCACCATTGCTCAAAAGAAGCGAGAAGATCAAGCCATGCAACTTTTACGTGGATTAAATGAACAATATAGCAATGTCAGATCTCATGTTCTTCTCATGGACCCCATTCCTCCAATTTCTAAGATTTTCTCCTATGTTGCTCAACAGGAACGCCAACTTTTGGGGGTCTAATTTTATTGCCAATACGGTTTCAAAAACTACTTCAATCAATGCAATCGTTTCATCTTTCAAATGTACCCACTATGGTAAATCAGGACACATGGAGAATCTTTGTTATCGTAAACATGGTTTTCCTTCTAACCATGACAATAAAAGCAATTGTGGTGCCTCTAATCGGTCTGGTAAAATTTGTACTCACTGTGGGAGAAATGGACACACTATAGATGTATGCTACCGTAAACATGGGTTTCCTCCAGGTTACAAATCCCCGACTAGCAAGACTTCCATTGTGAACAACACGGTGACTGGTGAATGTAAAGCTAGTGATCTTGATCAACAACAAGCTATTCCAAACCAAGATTATCGCTTCACTCCTCAACAATATCAAATCTTGATGGGTTTAATACAACACTCAACCAATAGTAGCTCAGCTTCACCTTCTTCACATATAAATCATGTTGGTTCTGTTTCTTCATGTTCCACACAACCCTCACCATCCCCAAGTACTTTTTTTTCTACCTCTGTCAGCACATACAATCTCACCTCTTGGGTCATTGACTCTGGAGCTACTGATCATATATCTTCTTCCTTTTCACATTTCTTTTCGTATCGTTCCATTAATCCTATTGTCGTCAAGCTACCCACAAGCCAACAAGTACTCGCCACCCATTCCAGTCTAGTAAAGTTCACTGATACTTTCTACTTATTCGATGTGCTATTTATACCAGATTTTAAATTCAATTTAATTTCCATTTCTAAGTTGGTTTCTTCTCTTGATGTGCAACTCACTTTTTGCTCCACGTCTTGTATTATTCAGGATTTGAAAACCAAAGAGAAGATTGGTACAGTTGATGTAAATGTTGGACTCTACATCATGACCATTGTTGCCATTCAACCTTCGATATGTTCTACTGTCTGCAATCCTAAATGTAGCATCCAATCCATAGATTTGTGGCATTTTCACATGGGTCACTTGCCATATGAAAAATTACATTCTATGAAACAATATTACGCCTAACACCTGTCATTATGCTAAGCAAAAGAAACTCCTATTCCCTTTGAGTCATTCTCATGCATCTAAATCTTTCGACTTACTTCACATTGATATCTGGGGTCCTTGTTCAAAAATATCTTTACATGGACATCGTTATAGAGGTGCGTAACTGTGTAACCAATTTCATTGCTTATGTTGAAAACCAATTTGAAACTCAAGTC